ACTCACAGCTCCCTGGTTCTTCTCCCTTTCGGGACACCCCTTAGTTTTGTTCTTCCCACCCCTAACAAGTGGTTTCCCCACATGTGACACTTGACCCCCCTCCAGAAGAGAGATTACAGCTGGTGACCCCCTGAATCTGGCTGTACACTTTTCTCCTAACGTATATCAGGGCCGGCTTTGAGCAATTTCACGCAAGCAGGCAGGCTGGGGCTGCAGTCATGGCTGGCCTCCCCACAAGACTGAAATGAGAGCCCCCCGGGATAGGTCTCCAGCTTCCTGAACTCGCCCAGCCCCCCAACAGTCACAGGAACTTGCACATCGCCTTTGGCCAGCTGGTGCGGGGGCAAGTGTGCCCGCAAACCTCTCCCCTGGGGTTTCCCCCATGGTAGACGTGCCCTCTGTTCTCGCCCAGGGGAATTCTCTCGGCCACGTCTCCAAACCCATGTCTCTCCTGGGCTGCAGGAGCCCATTTCTCACGGTCTGTGTGCCCAAGAGGCTCTCTCTGCGCTCCCCCTTTGGACACTTTTTGAATGCCCGCCTGATGGATGCCACGTGTGGGTGAGGGGCTTACATGTGGCTGGTTCACTCTTGGCCTCCACGGGACCAGCCTGCTCTGAGATACAAGCTCTGAGAGGAGAGAAGGCCTGGGTGCGACTCGGGCCGAATCCAGCTTTTCTTAGGAGACACCAAGGGAGAGATGGTCTGTGCCATCTCTCAAAGGCCATTTTTACGGCCCCTCCACTCAGCGAGTTTTCTCCTCTCTCTGGAGAGAGCGCAATGAGTGGGCAGAGTATCTGGGCTCTGGGGTCAGGCTGTCTGGGCTCTGCGCCTCCCCTGGGTCTATGAGCAGCTTGGGCAAGTGGCCTTAGGCAAGTCACTCACTTTGACCCACCGAGGATGGGCCCAGGGCGCTCGGGCAGAGCAGGCCGTCACCACTGTGCATGTGTGTGCCATCTCCGCGCGCCCTCCGCCCCAGCAAGGCTGCGAGGAGAGTATTTGAAAGGCACGTTTAAAAGAAGCTTCACTCCCACGGCAGCAGAAGCTACTTGGAGGAGGCCCATCCAGGGCACACACTCCCTGCTGCTTCTCTTTCTTCCAGGGAGAAGCGGGCAGTGCCCACTGGGAGTCTGGCTCTTGGCTGCCGGGAGATGCTTGGGCTGCCACCATCTCACGCACCCTAAATTACTGACTTTCAGATGGAGGATTTTTTTTCTTTTTTTTTTTTTAATAGAGGCATGTTTTATTTATTTATTTATTTATTTGTTTGTTTGTTTATACAAGCACTGGGTACAGTCAGAAGCGCGGGAGGTTGAGAGAATTCACCAGAGTCAGAGCGGGAGCAGAGCAGGCAGAAGGACTGAAGTACACTGCTGAGGGGAGCAGCGGGCGGCAGGAGAGGTCTGCGCGCCATGTGGGACCCTCCTCTGGTGGCCGGGGAGCAGCCGGGGATCGAACCGGCGTCGCAGAGGCCGCGGGCAGCTTCGCAACCCAGCGCTCAACCGCTGCGCCACCAGGGAGGCCCTCAGATGGAGGATTAAATCTGGGGGAGGCACCTGTTCCGACTTCCCAAGGACTCTCCCTGACCCTGAATTCTTTCCATGTCAAAGCAAAGAGGACCCTCCCCATCGGCTTCAGGGGAGACTTCTGATCAGCGCCCCTTCCGTGGGGTCCCATCGACTCCCAAATCACATCTGTTAGTGACAGTTTCCACCTTAGTGCACCTGTGCCCAGTAAGGAGATGCCATAGTATTAATTCATTTCAAGGTTTTTGAGCCAGCAGCCATAAATATTTAAGCCTCGCTTTGCCTATTAAGGAAAATGCCACCTACGATAATTATTTTGCCTCTGCCTGACAGGAAGATTTACACAGAGGGCGGAATTAGTCTAACCTCTGAGCATGTGCAGAAACCTTGAACCCTGACAACCCCCCGCTGCACCGCAATTACTCCTGCAGCTCCGTGTGCCAAATCCCCGGACCTTTTTGAAAATGCCAGCAAAGGGTGAGACCACCTAATGTTATAATTGATGGAGCTTCCAAAGCAGTACAACTTAATTTTCCCATGAAAATCAATGGAATATAAGCACAGATTCTGGTTCCTGCTGGTTTGCAACATGCCATGTTCCCTAAGCTGTGCCCACCTCGCTGGCAGGGCCCCTCTGTTCCCTGTGGTGCCGGGCTGGGCCCAGGAGGCATGGAGCACGCAGGGGGCACCCCCAGCATGAGGGCAACTCAGGATGGAACAGAGGGCAGGGTGAAGGTCAGGAAGCGGCAGACTTGGCATTTTTTAGGATGTGGCCTTGGCCTCAGCACCTCCCCCAGCAAAGACCTGATGCGATGCTCTGGATGAGGTCTGTCAGGAGGACTGAGGGCAAGCCTAGAAGGTGCTCAGCGTGCAGGAGACATTCAGTAAATGGCGGATGCCCCTTGTATTGAGGAAGGAAGACTTGCAAACATGGAGCGTGTTTAGGGCCAGAGCATATTAGCCTGTGGATCAAGCAACCCAGTTTTCCATGTATCCCTCTCTTTGCGCTGTGTTCCCAGCTCCCCTCTCTCTGCCCTCTCTCTCCCAGCACCCCTCTCTTCGCTGCTGTGTTCCCAGTATCCCTTTCTCTGCCGCTGTGTTCCCAGAAACCGTCTCTCTGACAGGTATTCTCAAGACCCCACCTTCTGAGAGTGTGTTCCCAAGATGACATGGCCAGTCCCATACATTCCGGTGGAAAACACAAATTAGATATCTGACCACGTGAGCTTCCATCCAGACTCTTATTATGTACAGGCTGTGGGAACGCAAGCAAGTTATTCACCCCTGAAGGGAGTCGGGGATAATCACATCCACCTGTAGAATTGCTCAGAGGATGAAAGTGCCCAATCTGGTGTTTGGGACCTTAGGGAGAGGGTTCAAGGTCACCAGCGTTCCCCATTGTGAAGAGCTGTCAGTTTGGTATGTCCCTGGACAGTGTGGAAACATAGACTGAGGACATTCAAAGAAGAAACTAAAATTTGGAATGTCAGGGTAAAGACATCTTACCTTGATACAAAACTTACTTTTTCCCCCCAAAAGAATTCACATCTTGGTATGTCCAGGCATAGTGTAAGCTAAAATAGTCATGTTTTTCAAACACGAAGAATAGAGATCGTGCTGTGAAAACCACAGCCTCCCGATGCAGGATGTATTCAGACTTTGACTGACACTATGGAGCAGTTTGTGATTATGAGCTGAGCCAGCTCCATGCAACACCCACCAGGTGCTATAAATGTTCGGTGACAGGGAATGGCAGGTTTTCAGGAATTAAGGTGGTGTTGAGCTTCCCCGTTTGACCCAGCCTCTGCTGATCAAACGGATAGCTTCCCGTGCCCAGCACCACCTCAGTCATCCGATGTTGCCCAAGACGGCGGCCACATGGATGACACCTTCCAAATAACTGAAGTCTGTTGTTTTTTCTTCCGTGTTCCTCACTATATTAGCCTCCTATTGCTGCTGTAACAAATAACTGCAAACTTAGGAGATTCCAGTAGTACCCATTTATTATCTGACAGTCCTTGGGGTCAGAATCCCACAACCATTCTCACTGGGTCACAGTCAAATCGCCAGCAGGTTGCACCCCCTCCAGAAGTCCCAAACGCCTGTAGGGGGCTGGCCATGTCATCCTGGGAACATAATCTCACAGGGTGGGGTCCTCGAACCCTCTCCCTAAGGTACAAAATGCTGGGCACTTTCATCCTCTGAGCATTCTACAGGAGGATGTGATTATCCCCGATTTTCTTCAGGGGTGAATAACTTGCTGCATCCCCACAGCCTGTACATAACAGATTGTAGGTGGAAGCTCATGTGGTCAGATTTCTTAGTTGTGTGTTTTCCACCAGAATGACTGCTTTCGGGATAAATACATTAGGCAATATGGTGGATCCATCCATCCATCCATCCATCCATCCATCCATCCATCCATCCATCCATCCATCTATCCACCCACCTACCAGCCAACCAATAAAAGCTGCCCACAGTGAGCATGAGACCTCTACCCAGAGCCGCTGCATGGCCTAATTTTGAATCCATCACTTTCCACTTTGCTGCCTGGAGCTCAGTTGGGGAAAGAGCGCTTCATCCACAACCTGAGTGTGGCCAAGAAGTAGCTACGCAGTGACCCAGGCTTACAGCCTCTCTGTCCTTGGTGTGTAGAAACGTCATATTTAGAACAGGAAGAAAATGACTCACTCTGGGTTGTCATGAAGACCAAACTGTGGCCACCGCTATAAACACAGATCTTGGAACCACTTAGCTTCTCACACACCCATCTGGTCCTCCCAGATTAAGCACCACCAGCAATCCCAAGGTACCATTCAGACCACTGACCCTCCGATCTTGGTAAAGAGCCACCAGAGCAAGCACCACCTGACTTGATTTCCCATATGAGATGCTTTCACGAGCAAGACCCCCTTCCCTGCTCAGCAGTGTTTCTGAAATTGTTTTGACATCGCCATGTAAGAAATACATTGTTCCTGGGGCCTCCCTGGTGGCACAAGGGGTTAAGTCTCAGCATTATGAAGCTATCACCAGCCACTGCAGCATGAGTTCGATCCCCGGCCAGGGAGGTGACCCACATGGCGCAGCAGACCTCTCCTGACTCGCCTGCTGCTCCCCTCAGCAGTGTATTTCAGTCAATCTGCCTTTTCTGTTCCCCACTCTGTCTCTGGTGGATCCTCATGCCCCGCACCTCTGGCCTGCACCCCAGCTCTTGTTTGCATAAATAAATAAACCTTTTTGAAAAAGAGAAATACATTTGTTCCATGCAACCAGCTCACTCACATGTGCACACAAGGACGTGAGCGCCACCAAGCAAGATGCAGCCTGACCACGGGCATGAGCGCTATGAATACTCCAGTCTAGTCTATTTGCTGGTCCTGGCTCCTGGCGGCTCATTTGCCTCTAGGCACTTGAGGGCTGGGGGCGGCAGTTTTTGCAAACACTGTACTAGAAAACAAGGAGAACGGGGGTCCCTACCTCAGGGGCGATGTAATCTGGAGTCCCGCAGAAGGTCCGGGTTGTGACTCCATCCATCATGTGCTCCTTGCACATCCCAAAGTCGGCAATCTTAATGTGTCCCTCCGAATCCAGCATGACATTATCTAACTTCAGGTCCCTGTGGGGAATCGAGATGCCATCAGTGTCCTTCCCACTACGCCACAGGGTGTGCTCTGGATCTACTGGGCCAGAGGTGCGTTCACCTGCCACTGTTTCAATGTCACATTAACTGTAAGCCCCCGAAGAGCAGGGGCCAGGGATGATTGTGGCGTTGGTGTTTTTAAGATCTCCTAATGGAGTGCCTAGGATACAGTAGGCGCTCAATAAATTCATACCGAATGAATGACTAAGCAGGTGAACTAGTAATTCCCAACCATGGCTGTGTATTCAAGTCACAATAGCTTAGACTTCAGGTCTGGGAGACCCCATCATTTATGAGCACCCACATGGAGGATCTGACACCTGACAAGTTTTGCAAAGTCAAAGGTTTAGAACAATCTCATTGGGCCATACACATGTTCCTTCCACTCTGCTTAGTGCCGTGTGTCCTTTTAATTACCCTTTAGTTAATACTGGGAGACAGTCTTCATTCTTGGGCATCAGCCTTTCACTGTAGCCACCAACTGGAAGAATTTAACTCAATCTGCCTCTGCTAGTTCCCCATGTTTCCCTGCTGAGCATCTATAACAGAAATTCCACTCCCCTTACTCCTAGACCTCTGATCCAAATAAAAGGCAGAGGAAGGAGCTGTCAGCGGGGAGAAGAAAAGCATGTTTTCTTGTGCGATATAAAATCTTTCGAGGTCCAGGAATCAGAAGGTGGTTCTGGTTTGCCTGGAGGCTGCAGAGAAAGGTGGGTCCTTGCAGGTCTTTGTTCCCTTGGGGGTTTATCAACTCCAGGTTGAAGTCCCCATCACAGAATCACACGTCCAGAGGGTCCTGAGGTTTAGCAAAACTCTCACCAGCGCCACCGGTGGCCGAGCGCCCATACGCACCTATAAATGATTCCTCGTTTATGAAGGAAGAACAACCCAATGGAAATCTCTGCCGCATAGAATCTGCAAAAGAAAACACTCCTCAGGTTTCTGGATTCTTTGGACTCCTGGATACTTTTACTGTGGAGGTCAGGGGTTGAAGAGGTTAAAGGAGGGAAAACTCCAGGATTAGTGGCGAGCACTCACCCTGCAGTGCTCTTCCAACGCTACCCCCTTCTCTATGCCATTTGTTATACCAACTCTATGCCATTTGTTATACCAATGAACAGCGCAGCTAAAAAAAAAACCCAATGCGATGGGCTTATTACCGGAAACAAGTGCTTTTTGTTTTCCCGGGACAGGTAAGTAGGTAATTTATTACTCACAAAGACATTTCTCATACAGCCTAATTATATTAGAATTTCTATAGCATTTCTAATGCAATCTAATATGATCTTTCGGCTATCTTTAAACTCTTCCAAGTCAGGACTGTGGTTGGGTGGAGAAAAATCTCATTTTCCTATTCAAAGACAGAAAACATTGGTGATGGAAAACACAATCATTCCCTTGAAGACAAAGGAACGTGTGATAAACTCTCCAGCTGGTTGACTTATCCCCCCCCCCTCCTGCTGGGATAATGGGGCACACACTGTGACCCCTGCCCTTTTACATAATTCATAATAAAAAGCAGTGACTTCCATTCCAACAAAACTGTCCATCGGCTAAGATCTGAAGCTCAGAATAAACGCTGAAGGATGTTTTAAACCTTGCAGAGCGTTTAGTGGTCTTTGAAGTCTGAGGAGGCACAAGACTGTGCCTGAGCCAACCTCATACCCAGGAGATTTAAAATAAGTGTGTCCATGTACTTGGGCAGAGAAGAAAGCGCCAATGGTCAGGACCAAATCCTTAACAGCAAGACCACCTCCCAGCTGGCAGGAGAGGTCAGGCAGGGGAAGGAGAGATGGGCTTGCAGGCCACTTTGATATCACTTTTCATGCTTCCTGTATTTTAAAAATAAAACTTTTTTAGCATTCTGCAATGCAAACAGGAAGACAGAGAGTCAGACGAGCCGTCTTTACAGCCCTCCTAACCTACAGGGTTTCTAGTCTGCTACTGGGTCTCGACAGTTGTGTCCTAGCAAGCGTTATTTTATACTCCAAACAGCTTAATCCTTTATCATGAACGACCCAAGTGAGGGAAGAAGGGTGAGTCTTTCTGAAAATGCAAAAGTGAAAACAATCAGAAAAATGGCCTTTCACAATTTTTAAGTCAGCTACCAAAGAATTTCCTATTCTGCCTTCAGTGAATGTCCCCCAGGACAGATTATCCCACCACACCAAAAATCTTTCAGCTTTATCTTGTAGACAGCATGTCGGCTAGAATCCTATTAACATTTGCTAAGTTGATTCATCAGGTTGCATGCCTGCGGTGCATCCTCATTTAGGGAAGGAAATAGCTATTTGCTTCGATTTGCTGCTGTTGACTTCCTGGCCCCCGAAAAGTGGGATGATTTTTCAGATATCAAATTGGTGCCCTCTGGATGGGTGACTGTCCGGACTGTGTCTCTCCTGCTCTGGCACCCATGGCGCTTCCCAGTGGGGCCTTTAAAGCTCACAGTTCTTTCCTCAAACCACCTGGGAGGCAACCCCCCCCCAAACCTAAAATGAGGCAGCATCACCTAAAGTGGCCTCTCTCCTCTCACTTCCATAGTCACCAAGCTGTTTCCTTCTCCAGAATGGGCCTCAAATACATCTTCTCGTTGCTGGCTCCAAGGTCAAGTCCTAATAAAAGCTTCACTCTTTCTCTACATAGATCCTCACCCCCTGCACTAGCCTCCAGCCTCCCACACTGCACTGTTCTCCTTGACCAGGGCATGCTGGGAATGCTCAAGCTCACGACGTCAGCCCCTCCACTGCCTTCCAGCCTTCCCTGCTGCCCACCAGGCGCCCCATCGGGTTCTGAACCTGGATCCCCTGCCAGCCCCCTCACATCCCAGATCTCAAGTTACCCCCCTGCACCTTTGGGCTGGAAATTTTGAGGATGGGAATCCCCTTGGAATCCCCTTTGGGTTTGTGTGGTTTCCTGTGCCACCTCTAAAGTCATGGCAACGCAGTCTAGTTGTCAAGAGACTTCGCCAAGTCCCAAGGTGGGGAGCCCTCATTCCTCCACGCTCCCACATCTGCTGCCTGTGGGTGTGCAAGGACCAGTGGTGCAACCAATGAGGACTTGGTCAACGAGGCAGGCATGGGTGACAAAGGGACACACCAGCATCTCCAATTTACCAGAAGTAGGATAAAGCTCTCCTTAGGGAACATCGAGAGGGACCCTGCTAATAAAAATGCCTCCCCCAGGTCACCGCACTCAACCCCAAATTGGGCAGCGCCTCGCCTTCCATTTCACCCAGCATCGGTTCCTGGCTGGGGGTTCTGCGCTGCCCAAATTAAGGGACTTGAAAGATATACTCACACTGCTTGTGGTTCCTTGAATTTTCCTACTTGCTGAATGTGGTACATCAGGTCCCCACCGTTGACATACTCCATGACAAAGTACAGCCGGTCCTGAAGGCCAAGGTGGACAGATGAGCAGGGCTTCTGCATGGGCTTGGGGTCCCCTGCCCTCCGTAGGGACTGTGGTGCTTTCTCATTAGTAAAATGTGGGCTGCACTGGCAGGGCTGCTGGGTAGAGTTCTTCAAATATTTTTTCCCCCAAAAGAACAAGTAATTAGCCTTATTCCCCCGGGGCCTGTGGAGCACAAGGTCATCACCTAACTCGCTGCCAACATGCCCGCCCTCCCCCCTACCCTGGTTACGGATGCCCCCCATTTCAGTAATGGGCCCCCACTTTCCTGCCCTGTTCCTACACACAGTTTCCATCTCTAACTTTCTTGCTATGAAACTTAGTTTCCCCTGCTTTGTAATTTTCCGGAGTTTAATCAGTATAGCCAGGGATGCAGGGTTTGGGCTGGGACTTGAGGATGTGGCTCTCCTTCTAGCACATTGCTCTTTCCCCAGAGCTACTTAGGAGCTGTCGGGAGCAGGGAGCTGACTATCTACACTGCCAGCACTAGGCTGACCCTTGGGGGCTGGCGCCCGGCTCTGTAGCCACTGTCTATCCCGACACTGTGTGGCTGCGTTGTCACTTGGAGGTTCTGAAATCCACAAGCTCTGAGGGTGCCTCCCAGGAGATTGCAAAGACGGACATAAAACAGAAAGGCAATTTCTGACCAAGGAGAAGTTGAAAATAGCAATAATCATAACAGTAACAAATATAGCTGCCAATGATTGAGTCACAGCTTAAAAAAGACAGTCTCCAGGAGGGGCAGGCCTATCTCTGGGAGCACCTCACTAGAAATAAATGTTTATATTTCTTGCAGGCCATTTGCAAGTACCCCACCAGTGAGAGGTTGTCCAGGCACCTCTGCTCAGCAGAGGAGAATCCACAGCTGAGTGGCCCCGAGTCAGGCCTTCCTCCTCCAGCCTTCTCCATGGCAGGGAGGCTGCCCTGTGAGCACTGGGGTGTGGGGACAGCTCCTGAGGGCACCTGTATGCCGGGCCAGCGACACGACCCGGGGCCTCACCACTGTCTGGAAGCAGGAGTGGAGCTGCGTCAGGAACGGGGGCTTGTCCAGCAGGGCCAGGACGCGCTTCTCCACCATGGTGCACTCCACGTCGTCATCTTGAATGACCACGTCCTTCTTCAGGATTTTGATGGCATACAGTTCTTCCGTCCCCTTCCTGTCAGCCAGCATCACCTGAGGCACGGGAGGACACCCGGAGAGCTTCTAAGTTCACATTGGTACTTGGGGAGGTGGGGGAGGACCTGGGCAGGGTGACCGTTGAGAAACTGCATGCAAGTTTGTAAATGGGCGATTTAAGGCTATTCGTAAAGTTCCACTTTAGGTGCAAAATTTGAAACCCTGCAAGGTCACCGCATATGAAATCCCCCTAGCGCTGGGCTGCTTCCGGGCTGGCAAGATTTACATGCTGTGGAGATTCTTGCCACACGGTGGCGCTAGTGTGGCTGCTAAGGGGGACATGCCACATGTCCGGCGTGGCCTGGAACCCTGCACGTTTTACAGCAGCATCGTTAGAGCGGAATGGGCACGACTCTACAAGCTCCTCATGAGCCAGGAGCCCAGACCAAAAAGAAAAAAAAGATAAGATCAAAATGAATCCGTTTCCTGGATCTGTCATGAGATCTGGGGTTAGAACAAAAGTAGCCCCAGCTCAGTATCTCCCAGAGCCTGCCTTTGCTTTCCACATTTGCTTACCACAAGTTACAATTTAGCCCTTAGGGGCAGCAATTATTCACCCCACCCTCCTGGAGCACTCCCCTGCTCTGAACACAGCTACGGGGACACCCCCAGGCCCTATTTTTAATGAAATGACGTGGGAGACAACTGAGGCAGGTGGACAGCGAGCAGGAACCCAAGGGGCTGCGCTGGACACCCCCGGGAGGACGGCCCCCCCCAACACTGCCCGCCAAAGCCAGGCCCCGGGTGCCAGCCCTTACCTTTCCAAAGCTCCCCTTCCCCAGCACCATGAGGAAATTGAAGTCGGTGAGCTTCACCCGGTCCAGGTTGTTGGAAGGTTGTCTCTCGGAAGGCGTGATCACCTTGTTACCAGCCGGGCCGAGCTTGGCTTTCTAAACAACAAGCACACGGTGAAAGCAGTCAGTTTCCTTCCAGGGAAGAGGTGGTGGGGACAGGGCGCTGTAAGGAAGCCAAGGCCACAGGAGCCAGAAGGTGGGGTGCAGGGGATGAGGCTGTCCTCCCCCGAGGCCGGCCTTCCCAGAGGAGCCAAGCCCGCCTTTGCCCACGGCCAGCTGCTCTCCATGGAGTGATCCACGAACCAAGTCCTGAGGCTCAGCCCAGGGCTGGCCCTGGCTTGGGGGGGTAAGAGCAAATGTGGGGAAAGTGGGGCCTCTGGCAGTGGACATGATAATCCAGGGAAACTGTGTGATGCTTTTCTTAGGGGTGAATTTAAAAGGACTCTGCCTCAAGGAAACTGGTGCTCACCTAAAATGGCGGAGCAGTGTTCTCTGGAGAGGAACCCCTCCAGTGGCAAGTTGGAGTGATTTATCACTATTTTTAAAAAATATTTATTTATTTATGCATAAAGAACTGGGGTACAGGCCAGAGGTGAGGATGAGAGGATTCACCAGAGACACAGTGGGGAACAGAACAGGCAGATCGATGGAAATACACTGCTGAGGGGAGCAGCGGGCGAGTCAGGAGAGGTCTGCCGTGCCATGTGGGTTGCTCCCTGGCCAGGGATGGAACTCGTGCTGCAGAGACTGCAGATTGCTTCATAGTGAGGTGCTTAACTCCTTGCGCCACCAGGGAGGCCCTATTGCTTCTTTACAAGGCACAACAAGAACAGAGATGTTTTTCTTGGCTTTGTTTTTTGTTTTTTTGAAATCAAGAACTGAACTCCCCCAAACAAATAGTGATGTGCACCAGAGTGGGGTACCCTGTGGAACACAGTGAGATCCCTTTGAGCCTGAGGATACTTGGTCAGTGCCAGGTGAGTTACCCGCAGGTGTTTTGTAAACTGGGCTCATGCCACATGGAGAGACACTACCCTCGTTCCTCCCCTGGGGGTCGCAGTCGACAGACGGTGGGAGACAGAGGCTCAGCAGAAAAGGCCAAACAGGAGGATCACATGGAAACACGTCGACAGCCAGCCCAGGAGCCCACAGAGAAAGCGGAGGAGCCAGTGTGGGAGTTGAGGCTAGGAGGCCAGGGGCCGGGTCGGCTGAACCCCGCGGCCCTGAGTCCGAGAGCAGACTATCTGGCTGCGGAAACACATAAGGGGAGGGTGCACTGCCCCATGCAGCAGGCCAGATGAAGTGCGGCTGGTGCCTGGACCCCCTCAAGCCAACGTGGCTCTGAGAAGACAGCACTAAGGAGCTTTACTAGGTGATCGAATTGCTGGCAAGATTCCTTCTGAGCTTCTGGGCGGGGAGTTGGGTTTGCCATATTTTTTTTTTAGAGCAGAGAAGGCTCTGGAGGCCCGTCCACACTGCCCCTGAGCTGTGGCATCCTTCCACCCCACAAAGTGCCAGCTGGCACTGGCAGCCTGAGCCTGCCCCACCTCGAGATCAGCAGCCCCAACACAGCGCTTGGCCTGGAGGTGGATGCCGTGATTTGGTTGAAGGTATAAATTAAAAAGGGCCACGATCTCCCTGGTCAAGTAAGGGGCATAAGCCAGGGAGCCAGGCTCAGCTGGACAGTTTCCAAGTAAATCAGTAATTAAAAAAACAGGACAGCTAGAAGTTGATGGCAATATGGAAAAGCTCACTTTCTAGACAACAAGGCTCGAAGTAGTGAGGGTCACTTTAAAAAAAAAAAAAGATTTATTTATTTATGCATAGAAGAACTGAGGTGTAGGCCAGAGGTGTGGTCAGGGGCTAGAGGATTCACCAGAGACAGAGTGGGGAACAGAACAGGCAGATCTGCTGAAATACACTGCTGAGGGGAGCAGCAGGGAGACAGGAGAGGTCTGCTGCGCCATGTGGGTAGCTCCCTGGACGGGGATGAAACGTAGGCCGCAGCGGTGCTAGTGCTGAGACTGAACCCGTAGGCCACCAGGGAGGCCCCACGAGGGTCACTGTTAACAACCCTCCCGTCCTCAACACACAGGCAACATTGAATCCTACAGTAACTGTACACCCCTGGCCTTTCTCTGTAAAAATCCTTGAAAGTATGAAACCTGTTCCTTGCAGACAGGATCCAATTCTCACGGTGCGCCCCCAATTCAGACAGCTTCTCCAGGCTCTCTGGAGTTTCTCCCGGGTTCAAGGCCTCAGTCTTGACTTTAATCTACTGGCTGACTTTAGTGTGGCTCAACTTTTTTAAGTCAACAGCGGGATAAAGACAGGAAGCCGGAATGTGTTCATCAGGTGCTGTGCTACTGTTGGGTGAGGCTTTTCTCAGATAAAAAGAACTGGGTGTCACAGGGATCAAGTCTCAGAGCTTGAATGCTGGCTCTCGTGGACACAGCACCGTGTACCCAGCGATGGGAAAATATGGGAGAAGAGACCCCGGCATTTTTGCTCTGAGGCTGAAAGTATTTAACCCAGGCATGCTATTCTCCTGCTGGCAGTGCGTGGCGGGAAACACGGGACCTTGGGGCCACTAGAGACACTGGGGCTCTAGAGACGGCCCCTGAACTGTCCCTGGCCTCCCCATTGACGGAGGATGGGAAGGGGCTTGGAGAGACTTGTGAGGAAGAAGTAGGACTTAACCAGAGCCCCCCAGTGCGAGCCCAGCCTCATCCCCCAAACAGCTGCCAGGGCTGACTCCTGGCTTGTATCGAGATGTGACCGAACCATCAGAAGTTCAGGCTGGAGATGAGGATGGCGCCAGGCCATTCTGCTCTGATTTATAAGGAAAGGGGTTACAGGCAGGGGCACAAAGAGATAGATATTTCCCGAGTCTTCACCGTAACTTCTAGGACTCATGCTCTGAGGTGCTGGAAACTGCCTGAGCCTCTTCCCCTTGGGGGGTGGTGAGCCCTGCAGCCACCAGCGCCTGTGGCCCCTGGGTCCTGGCAAGATCTTGCAGGCTCACTGGCATCCCTTTGACGGCCCAACAGACAGCAGAGGAGGGGTGGGAGGCAGGCGGGTGTGTGCTTCTTGCACCTCTACGCCTTCAGTGGGGGCCATTGCCGGGGGTGCTCCATGACTCTGATCTAGGACCTTAGTCTAAGTTATAGGGACAAGCTCTTCCCCAGTCAGGCTACAGGGGTGTAAATGCCAAAGAGCATGAGCCTCAGACTCTGGGCTGCCATCAGTCTGAGTCTGGGAGGAAGGAGGCAAAGCTGGACAGAGGAAGCCCCCGCTCCCGGCCCGGCCAGGCAGATTCCATTCCTGGTCATTTTAGCCAAGAGCAGAGCTGGGCTCATGGGGCTGGTAGAGGGAGGGCAGGGGTGGGAAGGGGGTGGCCCTGGCTGCATGCACCATCTCAGGGCTGGCTTCCTCAGGCACCTGGGGGCCCCCCTCAGCCCAAGTCATCCAGGAAATCAGAGCCCTGGGCCTTCCTGGCCCTCCATCCTGCTGACCAGGGCACCTTTCTGCCACTTTTCCCCGTAGAACTGGCCTCCCCGACATCTCCCTGCTGCCACCTGCAGGCCTGATGCTGCATAGCAAGGAGTCATCTCTGACGCCGAGTTTGCAGAAGCAGAAAATTCCATGCTCTTCCAAGCTCAGAGGTCCTTTCCAAGCCCCTCTCTCCACATGAGTCAACCAAATAATGAAATTGGAGGAGACAGCTAGTGGACCCCCTGCAGCTGTGTTCTGGGGGTCTGAGGGGGCCTGAGGGCAGGGAAGGCAGAGGTCTGCCAGGTGGGAGCTGTACAAGCCAGGACTGGCCTCCTTGTCTCCAGACCTGCATCCTGTCCCTTCGTGTTCATCACATGGGCTTTCGGCTCTGCAGCCCGTGTGCCCAGAGGCTCTCTGGGATCTGCTCCAGCCTCCCCTGCAGAGCCAGCCGGGAAGGCCCAGGCTGCAGCCCCACCCAGTCACATCCACTGTTTCCCTGGAATGGGCCGGGTAACTAACACACCTTCCCTGGGCTAATGCCCATTATTCCACGGCCTCTTGGGATTCTTTCCCAAGTGAACTCCTTGTTCTCAAAACCTGAGCAGAGTTGGCTTCTGGGGCACCTAAACAAGAAAGCACATGTACCTTCTTCCTGGATTTCCTGATCCATCTTCCTTACTAGACTGAGGCCCTGGAAGGGGGGGCCTCAGTCCCCGCACACTTGTCTGTCTAGACCAAGCACCCACACTCACTAAATGTCTACTTCATTCATTTCTTCGTTGGTTCATTCACTTGAAAGTGCGTGTTCATCCCGTTAAACGCTGGGATGGATGGGATGTGAAGACGACAGATTGTAAACGGTACAGTCCACTTGCAGCCGTTGCTGGTCCTGCAGACGTGGACATGACCTCAGACGAAGCTGCTGTCGGGATCACCCGAGTCTGTGTGCATCAGATGATCTACACAGTCAGAGCTGGTCATGCCAGGACAACCAGAGGCGGGCTCCCTGTCCTTAGGGAGGTGGGGCCACAAGTGACCCCCCAGCTCCCCAGGAGCCTCCTGTGCTAGTGAGCTGGGCCAGCAAGCTGAAACCTACGTTGGAAAAATTCTCTGCAGGGACCCTCCCGCCTGCTCGAGACCCGCTGGGAGCCCTGACGAGAGGCAGCCAAGAAGCCCTGAGCCGAGAATTTATTTCTTTTGAGTTTTAAGTGGGCTTTTGGCTATGGGTCTCCCAGCAAGAACAAGAGACCTGTCCTTCCGGGCTCGTGTATTGTTGACATAACCCTGGTTGTCATGAAAGAAATTCAGACTTCACCAGTTGTGCAAATAACATCAATATATGTCCAGGGATCAAGCTGAAGCCGACAGCCTAACTGCGCAGATTTCCGAAAGCCCGAGGAGGCATAAGAATAAGCGCACTGGTGTCCTTTACTCTAGCAATGCAAACACGGCCTGGCACAGCCAGGGCCCTGGGGGGCCTGTGAGCAAACGGGAAGTCAGTCGGCGCAGATGGGGGAGCGGGCGATGACGGACAGTCGGAGGAGAGTCAAGACTGGAGCTGGGGGTGAAGGCACCTGTCAGTCCATTGTCAGGGCTCCTGG